CAGCTCGAGTGGCGCGTTAATGAAATATATTTAGTCTCGAGCATCTGTCTCTTCGGGAGATAATGCACCTGAGGCTATTTGTTGGCTTTATTTTTAGCACTCTGCACATTTATTTATAAGTGTTAGGAAAAAATAATAAGGTTGCCCTGGCCGCCGTGGCCCAGTGGTTAGTGGCACCGAAGGGCCTCGGGTGTGATTCCCGGTCAAGGCCACGTACCCAGGTCGCAGGCTCGGTCCCCGGCCCCGGTCAGGGCACATGTGGAGGCAACTAATCGATGTGTCTCTCTCCCCGCCACACACACTCTCTCCAAAGAGCAACGGAAAAAATATCCTCGGGTGAAGATTAACAAAAACAAATAATTTAAAAAATAATAATTAATAATGGTAATAAGGTCAACTTACAGAGAGCACTGCGGATTCGGGAGACAGAGCCCAGCCCCCCGCCTGGCTTTCTTTCCTTTTTTGAAGGAAGAGTTAAAAACGGAGTGGCGGCCGCCTGGGGTCTGTGACGGGCCGCGCGGCGAATATTCAGCACGTGAGTTAGAAACTCGAATTCCATGGCAAGCGTCACTCGCGATTCTCGTCAGCGGCATTAATAAATACGGCACTAATAGCCGAGGAGCAATTTTCATCCGATCCTCTGTACGGAAAGTGAGCGACAGCTGTGAAATTCCCATCCGAGGCGTGAAGGTCACACGAACACTAACCGAGTCTCCGCGAAGCTCGAGAGTAACAGTGGTGAGCACCCCAGGAAGGCCTGGGGGGCAGGGAGCCACCCCTCCTGTCACCAGGAGGTACTGGGGCAACGTCCTCAGCTGGGGGAGCGGCGTCTGGTCCAACACTGTGTGTATCACACACACACCGTTACGGGTCAGGTTCTACCCCCAAAAAAGTTACGTTCAAGTCCAAACCCCCAGGACCTGAAGGGGCCTTATTTGGAAACAGGGTCTTTGCAGACGTGATCAAGTTAAGATGACGTCGTATTAGAGGCAGGTGGGCCCTACCTCCAGGGACTGGTGGCCTCGTGAGAAGAGGGGGATCTGGACACGGCGACAAAGCCGTCTGGTGACGGAGGCAGCGGCCGGAGTGATGCATCTACAAGCCAAGGATGCCGAGGGTTGCTGGCAACCCGCAGCGGCGAGGGGAGGGGCAGGGCACAGGCTCTNCGCATCTACAAGCCAAGGACGCCGAGGGTTGCTGGCAACCCGCAGCAGCGAGGGGAGGGGCAGGGCACAGGCTCTCCCTCGGAGCCAGGGGGAATCGGCCCTGCTGCCCCTGGTCTCACCCCTCTGGCCTCCAGGGCCGTGAGGATAAGTTTCTGTTGTTTTAAGCCACAGGGTTTGGGGTCATTTGTTACGGCAGCCCCAGGACCCCAAACGCACACACGTCTCTCTCCCTGACACACACACACGCACACACACACACGCGCACGAGTAAAAGCACATCTGCCTGTACAAAAACCTTNGCACACACATGCGCACGAGTAAAAGCACATCTGCCTGTACAAAAACCTTCCCCTTTGGGTTACGCTCATGGAATCCCAAACTTCCTGCTGAGTTACCTACTTTCGCCTTGTTAATCCCCTACTTTAAAAAACACATAATATTTAAATCCGTCATCATTTAAATTGTATCTTTAAAACGATCTAAATTGAATCAGCTCTCTTTGCTACAGAAATAAAACGTCAACCAAAATCGCACAATTAAAACACAACAAATAATATCCTCCGAGATCCAGCTAAAATCAACCCGATNGTAATATTTAAATCCATCATCAAATTGTATCTTTAAAATGATCTAAATTGAATCAGCTCTCTTTGCTACAGAAATAAAACATCAACCAAAATCGCACAATTAAAACACAACAAATAATATCCTCCGAGATCCAGCTAAAATCAACCCGATGAAACCTGTGCTCTGGTGAAGGTCGGGGGGTCACCAGAGTTTTCTACGGGGGGGGGAGCGAACTAAAGCAGGGAGGCCCTGAGCCCTCCACCCTGCCAGCAAGCTAAAGGTCCCTGTCCCAGGTCAGAGGAACATTGAAAGGTATTTACACGTTAATTAAATCAAAAGAACCGTCCTGTGTAGACGCGAGCAGCACAGGGAGTGCCAATGGGCTACATGGCCGGGGGGTCCCTGCCCCGCCAGCAGCGACACACCTTTCATCTGAAGTCACTGCCCACGAGTGGCCAGAGGCAGGCGAGGACTCCCGCAGACCCGGGAGGAAGCAGCGAAGTGAGAAGGCGGTAACAACGCCGAGAAACGGGAGGGTCCCCCGGGTCACCAAAGTCCCACCCCTTGGCCCGGCGCCCACTGCGCCGCCATGGCCGGGGTCCAGCCTGACCCTGGGCCCCACAGGCAGTCCGCTGGGGCTGAGCTCTGATCGGCCGGAGGGGAGGCCCAGGGCTCGGCCGCTTCCACACGCCCGGGGGAGACACTGTCCTGCCCAGCGCCGGACGTCCCGCAGGCAAAGCCTCGCAGGACAGCCCGCAGGGGCACCGCCGGCACGGAGGCCCTCGGCAGAGCGCCTACCGCTCGGCACCTACGGGCCCCGGGGCCGTGAGGAAGAACTTCTGTGGCAAGACAGCCAGGAACCAAGGCGTCTCCCTCTCGTTTTCTGTTAGAAACAAGCTCCGCTCCTGCCCGCTGCCCTGTGGAGACCCGCCCGGGGCGCGAGGACAGGATGTGGGAGTCAGTTTCTGGGTCCCCTTAAGCGGGACAAAGGCACGGCCACCTGCCCGGTTCCGGGCAGGCAGAGGGGCTGGCCCCTGGGGAACAGGGACTCAGGGGGCTTCGGGGCTTCCCCCAAAGGCAGCACCGAAGGCCCTGAGGCGGGTCCACTGGGTGCACCTGGGTGGTGCCGCTGCAAGCTCCCAGCACCCCACCCCGACCTGGAGCCAGTCGGTGGGAGGGGGTGGCCAGGTGACAGGTGAGCCCCTGAGCTTGAGGGAGAGACCTCGGCCCATCCTCCTGGCCCAGGGCCACAGAGAGATGAGGTGTTTCCACCACGCAGGTGAGGGAGGAACATCCTTTTGTGCACAAAATGCTTCTCTACCCTTTAAACTCACGCATGCAAAACACTGTACGCGGTGCCACAGATTCAGTTGAGTAAAACGTGTTACCTGAAAAAAACAAAGTGTCTGGGCTATTAGAGATCGCAGTTTGGGGACAATTTTTACTTTTGATGAATGAACATTGAAGAGAAGTGCCTTCATGCTGATTAAAATGCCAAGCAAAGACATCACAGTCAGGCCCAAAGGAGACAGAACAAACTGTGACCGCGCAAAGGGACAAGGGCACAGTCACGACAAAGACAAACGGGGGGAGGGCGAGCCGTCACCGAGCGAGACCGCGGGAGACTCGGGTACCAGCCGCGCCAGACACGGCAGGTGAGAGAAGCTGGGGCGTCCCGGGGGGGTGCAGGCAGCTTTCCTAGACCAGGTGGTCACTTCACCTGCACTCGGGTTACCCGGATGCTCAGCAGCTGGTGGCATCAGCCCATACAGTAGCCACCCCCGAGCAACAGTAGAAAACCTCACTCCAGGAAAATCAAAGCCAGGCCCGGACACAGAGGAACAAACGCAGGCGCAGACCCCGGGGGAAGCTCTCGCCCCCCCCCCCC